AAAGAGGTGTTACAAGAGAGTAACAAACATAAAAAAGAAGAAGGGGAGATAAGGACGATAGATGTTTGATAGGAAAGAAGAAGCAAACCACACCAGAACACCCGCCAACCACCCATTAAGTATGTCAGACATGGGAACAGGGGGACAAATAAATAGGTCACACATGAGACTTTAAGGCTTCTACATTAATGTACAAAGTCAAGTACAGTTTCGAACTGAACCAAACCCCCCACCCCCCGTCCCCCTCCCCGTACACACTCAATAATAGAGGCCCTACAAATAATGATGGCTGAAGGGGATTTCGTAAAAGCATTTGATAAAAGTCCCTTATTTTTTATACTTAAACATAAACGCTATAATATTTTCAACAATGTTAATGATATGTCACTAACTTCAGTAGGCCTTAATAACTTGAACTTACAAAACAAAAGACATTATCAAAGACCTTATATACCTATATATTGTCAAACCTAGCGTAATGACCACCTGTTTAAACATACACCAGGACAATCAATCATACCCCCACCTCCACCCCATGCCACTCTTGCGTTTTTATTCTTTATCAAATTGACACTTTCCTAAAAATAAAAAAAAGCCCACCTGTCTAAAATGACAATAGGTGTTCCGTTTTGGACAGGTTCAAATATATTACGTTTTTATCGGATCGCTCAAAACGTAAGTAGGACTACACCTTAGAATTCGAGATTTCAACGTAACCATCAAATCCTGGAACCTTTTCCTTCCCGGGTGTGCAACAAACGTAACTTCCCTGATTGTACAAAAATGTTCTCAAATAAATAATCAAACACTGTCTTCCCCACCCTCCCTCTGATACCAATCCCATTCTTATCATTATGGGAGTGTATACAGACCCGGTAACCGGGAATAAAGTCACAAAGTATACAGACCCAGGAGGGGAACTCTTTTGTGATTTCGGAGAGTTTCTGCACCCTCTTGGCTCAGGGTAGACTTAGGTTCTTCTAGATCTATGGCCTAGGCTAGATCTAGATCTAGGCAGACAGACATAAAATCTTTTAAAGATCTAGATCTAATAAATGAAGATTGCGGATGTCTTTTCGATGAACGATCGTTTTTCCCCTGTTTTGGAGTTAGAGGAATCACAAGTCACAATTTGAAGAAAAGATCTTTTTCTTTGTTTGTCTGTCTTCCTTTGTCCCCACCTATTTCCCACTCTATCTTTCTCTCGTTCCCTCCTGCCAACTGGGGCATGTCACATTACATTTTGCTAG